TAATATTTAGTCCTCGTCTATAAATATCGAGGTTAATTTATAAATATACGTCGTTATGTTATTTAGTTATATATAAGAACTTTTTTTTTATTTTTACTTTTTATTATTCTTTTGTAATTAGCTTTTTTAGTTTTTTATTATTTATTTTTTTAAATAGTTCCTCTATTTATATTTCTTTTAGCGTTCCTTTTATACTTTAGCCTTTTTAATATAATAAATTTAGTATTAGTTATATTTATAGTTTTCTTATTTTATATACTTATTATTAAAGTATTTTATAAAAAAGCTAGGGTCTAAGCTAAATATTACTTTATTATTATTATTAAAGCTTAGTAATATTTAACTAAGTAGTTAGTTTTTTATATAAATATTTTTAATAAGTTTATTATTATATTTTTATAAGTAAAAGTAACTATTTTATTTATATACGAAGTACTAAAAGTATTTATTATTTAAGTACTCTACTTAAAATAACTCTTTATAAAAAGGGTCTTTAGGGTTAAGTAGAGAGTAATCTTTATTTATATAAGGGGTTATTATAACCTTTTTACGTTCTTTAGTTCTATAGAACTAAATAGTTTAGTTATTTTTAAATAAATAAATATATTTATACCGTAATTCGTTATTATCCTTTTTAAAATTAGTATTATTAACGCTAAGTAATACTTTATAATTAATCTCTATTTAAGTATATTATTAGGTAATGTTACGAAGTTTATCCGAATTATAAAATAATTTTATTTTATTAAAATAAAAAGAACTAGTTCTTATTTTAATATTTTTTTTTTTAAAAGTTAAAGTTAATTTTTTTTTTTTTATAACTCTAAAATTAAGAGCTAGTTTTTTAATTACTTTAATCTTATTTTTATATAAGAGTTTTTTAAGCTATTCTTTAACTTTATAAATAAATTTTTTATTAGTATTTACCTATTGTATTATATAAATAGACTTAGTTAGGATTTTATTTAAATTAAGCTCTTTTTTAAGTTTAATAAATTATTCTTAGTTTATATAGTTTTATTATATTATATAAACGAGGCTACTTATAATTTTTTTAATATTAAGTCCTCTTTTTTTAAATTTAAGGAGTTACTCTTTTATACTAGCTAAGAGTTTTTATTTAATTTGTTTTTTAAAAAAGTAAAGTATATCTTTTATAATAAGGTCTATCTTAGCCTTTTTTTTTATATTTTTATAAATCTAAGAAAGTATAGTAACGTATTTAATATTATTTTCTTTAAAAATATAGGGTTAATAAGTAAGTATTTTTATTTTTTTTACTACTATTACTAGGGTTTTAATAAAAAGTAGTATAATATCGTATTCTAATTATCCGTCGTTTTTAAATTATTTTAAATACTATCCTATTTATTCCTTACTATTTTAGTAAATAAGATAGTTATTGTTATAATAAGCTATTTATAAGAATTATTTATAAAAGACTTCCTTATTTATAATATTAGCTCGTTTTTTTAAAACCGGTTAGTATTAAATATACTTAAGTTATTAGTAATCTCTAGCTATATATCCTAGCTTATCGTAGTTATAGTATTTAAAGTTTCTTTTTTATTATAATTTTTCGTATTTAATAATACTAAAATTTATAAACCCTCCGTACTATTTATAAATAGTATTTTATTAATTATTATTCTAGTTATTACGGGGTCGTTAGTTTATTTAAAAACTATATTAGGGTTATTATTAGTATTTATATCCCGAGTTAAGTTCTTATTTACGTTCCTTTTTTTTTTTTTTTTTATAAAGTTAGTTATTAAGCTTAATAATAAGCTTATTATATTAAAAGAAGTTATTAAGTTTATTAAGTTAGATTAGTTCGTCTTTAACTTCGTCCTTTAATTCTTAATAAAATATAAATATTTTAATATCGTTTATAAAGTCTAGCTAAATACTAAAATATTTAAACTTAGTAAAGTATTCTTTTATTAACTTAGTTTATTATAATTACGTAAGGTTATATTTAGCTTATTATTTTTTTATTAAGATTTTAAAATAAGGATCTAAAAGCTTTTTTAAACTTATTAAAGCTATAATAAATATTACGTACTTTAGTAAAGTATTCGTCGAACGTTTCTTTATTAAAATATTCCTCTTAAATTAGTTTAAACTATTTAAAAGCTCGTTCTTTAAAAAAGCTAGTAGCGTATATAACTTTCTTAATTTTATTAATAAAATCCCTATAATAGAAGTTTTAATAGTTCTTAACTTAAATTAAAAATCCCTTAAGGGTTCTTAGGGTACCGTTATAAATAATTAGCGTATTAAGCTTAAGTTTTTATTATCCTTTTTAAAAAGGAGTAATAATAATATTAGTAGCTCCCTAAAGCGTATTAACTTATTAAGTTAAGTATTTAGCCTCCTTAATTTTAATCTTTAAATAGCTTATAGTTTCGTTAAGTATAGCTTATATTTAAGTAATATTTTTATTATTTTTTTTAAAGCGTTTTTATATAATAATATAGATTTTTAAGGTAAAATCGAGTTCTTTTTTAAAATTTTTAGTATTCTTTATTTTTTTATTTAAGTTTTTAAAAAGGGTAGGTCCCTTACCCTTAAGGCTAGTTAAGGAGGTAAATAAAGTTATTTTAGAAAATATCGTTCGTACTATTTAGTTAATCTTTATAAAATAAACTTATTAAATAAGAGTAATTAAAGTATTATAGTTAGCTAGTTATAATAAATATATTAATAAAAATTAAGGCTACGAATACTAAATAAATAGTATTATAATTATAAATAGCTTTTTTAAAATTATATTTATAAATTATAAAATAAATAAGGCTTTAGTAATTAATCGTAATTTTATTAAAAGAGGTTTTTTAATAAAAATAGCTAAAAATAATCGTAAGATTTAATACTAAGTTAATTATTAAAAAAATTATAAAAGTTTATTTTTAAACCTAGCTTAAACTTATACTATATATAAATCTCGTTTTTAAATATATCCTTTATTTTTTAAGTTATCCTTAATTATTCTAATTTAAAATAATCGTTCGGCCCTTAAGTTATATTAAATTATTCTAATCTAAAATAATCCTTATTTTATTAGTACGTAACTTATTTATAGTTTTTTTATTCTATGAGGAATAGCTATATCCCTATTTTATTTATATATATAGTATACTTAGTTACCGCGGCTAGTAGGCTAGCCTCTAGGTTAGTTATATATATTAAGTCGTAATATCTAATCTCGGAGCTTTTATTAAATTAAAAAAATATAGATTTATTAATAATATAAAATAGATCCTTACTACTACTACTATTAAAATCTTTTTTTTTTTTTAGTATTTTAAAATACTTTACTATTTATAAAAGAATATTATTATTAACGTATTTATAATTCTAAAGGTCTTGTTATTATTAAGTATTAATACGCTAGCGATTATTAAATTAATTTCTTAATAGTTAATCTCCTCTTATTTATTATTAATTTAAAATAGTACTTAGCTATAATATATTTAAAATAGATTTTTTTATAAGTAGCTTAATTAGAGAGAAGTTAGTAATTATAATAAAGCTAATAAAGATAATATTAATAACAAAAACGAGGTTAATAGTAGTAATAAAATAGTTAATTTTTTTATAATAGTAGTTTTAATAAAAGAGATTATACGTAATAAAGCGTGCTCTTAATAGCCCGTAATTAGTTAATTAGTTATTAATTAGTAATAATAAAAAAGAGTTAAAGTAGTATAAACTAGGCCGCTTATTATTAATTAAATAGATAAAATTAAGTTAATAAGTTAAAATAGTTAGTAAAGTAGGTCGAGGCTATCTCTTTTATAATTATATCCTTACTAACTTATAATAAAAATATATATATAATTTAATTACTAATTAATATTAATATATATATAAATAAGTTAAACTTTTTGGTCGTAACTAGGTTAATAAGTTAATATAGGTTTATTATGTGTATATAAGAGGGGAAGATTATGGGTAGGGCCCGCGATCCCTCTGTAGGTGTAAGTAGGTAGAAGGGTCCGTCTGCACGGGCCCAGACTGCCTACTTACTACCCCTACCTAACTACTTAATAAGGCCCCTTTTCTGCCTCGTAATCCAACACGCAGAGTCCATCGGCACTCTGGTAGGCTTACTTACTGGCTGCAACCACGTCAACTAGAACTAACTAGTATATAGCAAAACAAACAAACAGTCTCTTTCCAGCATTTATGGCACTGGACTGAGCAAGCCTCCAAGGTTTACCACTCCAAGTCAGCCTTTGAGGACACATCCCATCTCCACGTTCCGCTTCTCAACATCAACCCTGAGGGCAAGCTGCAGCGAGAAATAAAAGACATTATCGATGAACTAGGCATCATGATACATGTCAATGGGAAACAAAGGGAAGTCATCAAGCGGTTCGTAAAGCACGTTGAAAATATCTACGACCCGAGTGGTAAATGGCGGGACGAGACACTCAGCCCGGATGGCAATCGGGACTACTTTCGTTCCCGGTCAATGTCGCGAAGCGGCGAAGACATCACGTCTACGGAAGAGGCTAGGAAACAAGAGGAACGCGAGAAGGATGAGTTTACTTGGTTCCGCAAACAAGCATACGATCTCATATCAGATGTGGACGACCGGATGAACGAGCTCGAAAGCCTGCGCAAAAGCGCTGAGACTACCTCGCAAGGCGTGGGTTCTTCTTTCAATATCTAGGTTTACACACACGCTAACCGAGAATATCCAGATCAAAGACCTTCTTGACCTGAAACAGCAGCAGGCTAGCATTCTACAGGCATGGCAGTCAGTCAGGCAAGCAGACGAAAGCGTTCGCCAAGGAAGATCCGTCATGATCTTTACGATTGTTACCATCATATTTGTACGTTAAGCTTCTTGCTTTCGTTCATTGCCCTCTCATTTCTCCATTTCCCCTTTCTGCATTGCGATTTTGGAAGCTAACATTGATGCGAAGCTACCGCTATCGTTCATGTCGAGTGTGTTCGGCATGAACAATAGAGACATTGGCGACACCAACATGTCTTTTGGAGACCAGGCGAGTTGGATGTGTAAGCAATCGAAATCCCAGCCATTGCTGTCAACTTCTCGCAGTGCACTGACAGACATCTCTAGTCCCAATATCCGCAAGCGTTATTTTTATCTCCATTATCTTCGCCTTTTGGACTTACCCGCGCACAATTTTCTGGTCTGCATACAAGCTGTCAGAAACATGGATTCTTGTCACTTTCGGCTTCTATGCACTCTAACTCAAGATTGGAGAGTGGAAGAAAGACTGAACAACGAGCGATAAGATGCTGAAAAGACTTGAAAAGAAGGTGGAGGGCATGAGGAGCCAAGTCAAAGATCAACGTCGCGCCGAGCGCGAGAGGGCAGATGCCGAAGTATTGAAAAAGGCGGAGGAGACGGACGGCGGCCCAACAAAGTCTGAGTATTGCTTGCCGGAAAAGGCAGGTGATATTTGAGCCTTCTCTGTATTGCTATAGAAAGCCTAGAATCACTTAATTTCCAATAATATTCACTTGCTTTTCGTGACGTTTACCGAGCGTGGTATCCGGGGGCTCCAGAGATGACTTGCGATTACACGACCTCGACATGCTATAATGCATTTCCGTGTCAAGTCGCATGTGACGAAGCATTAGCAATGGTGTCACATTTTATAAGCCAATTTCATCTTGGGGACCGGGCTCTTGCGTACGAAAGCAAACTTGAAAACACCACGCATTGGAACAGCACGATATGTTGCGACGAAATCTGCAATGACGATCGATAATTTGCTGCTCTTCCCAAATTTGTATCACACAGAAATTTGAGGTCTTCGATGGCGCCTCGATTTTGGCCCCGAGGAGTGAAAGTGCCACGCTTCTGAGAACCCCCGTAAGATGCATGCCGCACCAGGGCAATATGCCTCCCCGACGCCCTCAATCCCTGAATCACGGTCACCTCGACGTATCACGGCATTCATCACTATATACACACCGATAGACTGGGACATGTGGTTTTGGCAGAAGGACCGTTGGTGCGTTAAGCTCGCCAGAGGAGACAGTAGAGATGGAGCCGTTGATGGAAGCGGCAATGGCGGTGGTGGTCGTTCCATCAATGGTATGAGAACATTTGTGGCATTAAGAAAGCTTTCAAAGGCATCCGCGCCTCGAGGTCGAAACGTACGACCACTCAAAGAAAAAGTGCGGCAGCAGCTATTGGTTCAGGAAAGTAGAATTTCTCTGATAGGGTCGCTTCAAACTACCTGAGGGGCAGATGTATTGGCCAACGCCGCAAGCTGCATAAGAACACAGGCTCAGTACTGCAGCCTGATTGTTCAACCCCCTCAATATTTGCCAAGTTCACCCAGACATCTCCATTCCCGGAACCCCTCCTTAGTCCTGGTGCAGGAACCCTCAACGGGGCGACTTAATTATGGAGGCTGCTGGCCTAGCTTCAAGTATCCTGACTTTCATCGACATTTGTTACAAGGTAGCCAAAAGAACTTACGAAATTTACGAATCCGCGACGGGTGCCACAGCCGAAAACATACACGTAGGCAATGTCATCATCGACCTCGAAAAGGCTGCAGCCGAGTTGAGTCCAGCCTCCAGAGGACATGATGCGGAGTTGGCAAAGTTGTCAGAGCAGTGCCGAACCTTGTCAGACGATCTCTTGAAGCTTCTTGCAGGGCTAGAGAGGCGCGAGAAAAGGTTGTTCCAGAGTTTCAAGGCCGCGATTGCCGGTGCGCGCAAACAGAAAGAGGTCGCTTCGATTGAGAAAAGACTGGATCAGTACCGTCAACAGATTATTCTTCACTTGACACTCAATATTTAGTGAGTTAGCTCAGGAACCCAGCTAGAAAGATGCATGACTGACCATTTTGCAGCCGAGACCAATCGCCCATCAAGGCTCAACTCGAGCGGATACGAGACGATAGCAGTCGACTTGAAAACGAGCACGCTGCAAAGTTGGATGCACTACACAATCAACTCTCCGAACTACTAGAGCGTATGAGAACTACTAGCTCGAGACAGTTTTGGGATCAGCAAGTTTCAAACGATCGTGACTTCATAAAGACACTCTCGCCTCCTGTCAACGAACTTGACCAAGACGAATTTTTCGGAAAAGCCTCCCACAAGATACATGCAGCCAACGAACCATCTACACACAACATTCAGTACCATGCGATTGTGGGCAATGATCTCAGAGATCTCGCAAGACTTCTCCATGACTTCAAATTGTGTGCCAGCACTCTCGAGGCAGAAAATAAGACACTTGATAGTTTGTACTTCGACGCGATATTTCAAAGAGAGAACAGCGTCTCCGATGCTGTATCAAACACTTTTGCTTGGATAGTCGATGGTTTCCCGCCATCCACCACTTTAGATTCAACCGACACAAACGGCTCAAATTCTCCGAGAGAGTCTCGACGATCTTCCTTTTCCTCCTCGCCCAAATCAGAAGAGGAAGAGCTAGTAGATCACCATCGCATAGCTTTGGAGAAGCAGCTACTTGAAGAGACTCAAAATCGGGAGGCTATGTCTCAGAGCCTTCATTCCTTCTTGGCAGATGAAGGAGAGGTTTTCTTCGTCTGCGGGAAAGCGGGCAGTGGAAAGTCAACGCTCATGAAATTCCTTAGCCATCACTCCAGCGTAAGAGAAACGCTGGTGGATTGCGCCAGCAAACGAAAGCTTGTGATCGTCAACACATTCTTCTGGAGCTCTGGCGATCCTCTTCAGAAGTCTCTTGAGGGATTCTACCGCGCTGTTCTCTTTCATACTTTAAGGCAGTGCCCTGAACTACTTGAAACGGTCATTCCAACTCTTACTGGGATAGGCTTCTCCCCTCTTTCAGCAGCCATATCACTCTCAGAGTTAGAGGCGGCCTTCAGTCGTTTGCAGTCATTAGAGAACGCCGCTAGCTATCTCTTCTGTTACTTCATTGATGGGCTAGACGAATATGAGGGAGATCCTCTTGATCAAAAACATCTTGCAGAGATGCTAAGAAAATGGTCACGGAAAGATAATGTCAAGATAATATGCTCAGCCCGGCCATCGACCGTTACCCTCGACATCTTTGGCGCCAGCAAGACATTCTTTGAGCTTCATAAGTTGACCAAAGCCGACATACACGCCTTTGCCGAGGATCAAATTAAAAAGTATCTGAGCGAGCCTACCTTCGAAAAAGGTCAAGCGGTATGTCTGGGTATGGTTCAAAAAATTGTGGAACGCGCCGACGGTGTGTTTCTCTGGGCAAGCCTCGTCGTCAGGGCTTTGTTGAATGCGGCTCTAGAACACGAAGACGAGTTTTCTATCCAAAAGAGGCTGGAAGAGTGTCCCAAAAGTCTCAATCAACTTTTTCATCAGATGCTTGACAGCATTGATCCATCTCCATCTGTGAGATTGCGGTCGACGATTCTCTTGCAGCTGTTAGCAAGCGAGCCCAGAATCCGTCTCAACGCCCTCGCGCTCTCGTGGCTGAACGAATCTCGTACTTTGCGATCGCTAATGGGTCTACCCAGGCGCTCAAATCATGACAAGTACACCGAGACTCGGATTGAAACAGAGCACAGGAAGGCACGAAGCCAGTTGCACACCTTGACAAGGGGCTTGGTTGAGATGGAGGCAAGTGAACATTTGGCATACCTCACAAGTACCAAACACGGCTGTGGGTCCTACTACCAAACCTACTTTTGCTTTTTCCATCGGACCGTCAGAGACTTTCTTGCGGAAGAATGGTTGCCAAGCCTAGTCCAACGGCCGCTCATAACAGCCGAGCAAGAGGCAGCAGTAAAGGCTGAGCTTCTGATAGCAGAGATTAGACATTGTCCTGAACCGCATCTCCATTTGTCGGAACATGCTTACCCTGGTTGTTACTTCAAGATGTTAGACTTTTTTGACTCTTTTCGATTCTCTCCAATTCAGCGTCTAGACTTTTTTACTGTACTGGTTCAGGAATTGGCTGTTGTTGTCTGCGGTAATCAACAACACTCCCCACCTTTCTTATCACAAAACATTCTGATTCCCAAGTCTAAGCAACAAGAGAAAATGGGTCCAACAGTATGGGAACCCTTTTCGTTTCTGCACTTCGCTGCGACTTATGGCATGGCTCAGTACGTCAAGACAACTGTGGCGAGTATGGACAATCCGACTATTGTTGATACATCTAATGTCAACCTTCTGATCACGGCCGCGTACTCGTCTGTTCCAGCCTTGGTAGATTTCTTGCTTCAAGAGGGCTGGCATCCGAATGAGCTTGTCACGGCTTGTGGTCTGAAATCGTCTCTGAAGGGCGAAAGATGCTTTGTATCTGTTTGGGAGGCCTTCTTGTACCGTGTCGCATGTCTTCTGAGCGCCTTTTGCGCTGACGAGTCTCGAACTCCTGTTTGGAAAGTCAGGAACAGAGAGAGTATGGAGCACTTGAACGATACGTTTTCAATGGTCGAAAGCTTTCTTCAGTCTGGGGCAGATGCCGAAGTGGAGATTCTTGTTTGCAATAGCACCACTTATTCGGAACAAGATGAAGAAGCCGAGACACTGACTAGGCCAGCTTATAGGGTGTCTTTTTCCCAGATTGTTCAGTTAGCTCAACCGAAAAATGCGGTGGCACTCCAAACCCTATTAGTGAAGCCGAAGCGGAATGTTCTCGGCAGAATATTGGGTCGTACGACAATGCGGAACCCTAAAAGTCGAATCGAACTCGCAAAATACCCTATGGCTACTATGGAATATTTAATGAAAGAGAAGTGGAAAGCAAAAGGGCTTGTTTCTCTAGCGGCGAATCGTGTTTACCTCGGATTTGCGTGTATTGTTTTCATAGCTAATTTTCATTGAATACATCTTCTTTTCGAGAGACTATATATAAGTAGTAATTAAGGATGTTTCCTCCATGAAATCGGGACTGCTAATGCAGGCAGCACTTGCGCTCGTCAATCATATTCCTGCGACAAATTTGAATTCATCGTTCTCCAAGGAGATTCATGGTCTTGTATTACTTTGCTATATGTAGTGTAAACAGACATTTGGAAGAAAGGCTATCTGAAGACATTCCTGCTTTATTTCGATCTCATCCACACAATACCTGTACGCTCAACTAGAAGACTTGGCCCTTGGTTTGTTGCACCTTCGCAACATTGACATTCTTCCACAAAAACACACAAGCCAGCGCCAAAGGCATGAAAGCCGCACCGCAAATAACCATATGCCGCTGAACATCTCCATAAGCATGTACAATACCAGCGCGAGCGGGAGTTCCCCAAGCATACGAAAGCTGCACCTTGATGTCTCCGTAAATCGTAGCAGCATCAGCCTTGTTGTCCTCGGGAAGGTACTTGAGCAAGAAGTCGAGGAACTCATTCGTCCAGATGGCACCCGAGATGGCGCGGCCGATGGACCGACCGACCGAGGTGGCCAGGCCGATGAGGGCCAGCATCACGCTGACTTCGTTGTGCCTGACCACGGACATGACGGCGAGCTGCTCGCAGATGATGATTGTACCGGCGGATACGGCCTTGAGGATCTGGCACATGATGATGTAGCCGATGTAGGTGTCGGGGGTGCGGAAGTGGATGAGGAGGCCGGTGGAGAGGCAGGCGACGGGGATTGCGGCGCAGGCGATCCACTTGTAGTGGTTGGTCTGACGGATGAGACTAGGAATGTGGGTTAGCATTGGAGCTCATCGGGAGAAGGTGTGGCATGGCTTACAGTCCTACGATGGGTCCCCAAGTGCAGGAAGCAATCGTGTAGATGTTGCCGATGAAACCAGCCTGGCTAATGCTCTGGCGGTGCACGACCTGGAGGTACGATGAGAAGAAAGAATCCCATGAGCTAGTTAAGAACGTTAGCGATCGTCTCCGTGGACTGATTTGAGAGATATTGTGTTAATTACCTGAAACTCAACCCGATGACACCAGCCACGGCGGCCGATCCTAGGATAGTCCGGTCTTTGAGGTTGACCCATGGAACAAGAGGTGTAGTTGCGTATTTCTTCTCCCAGAAACCAAAGGCAACGAGACAGAAGATTCCAAGGATAATCATGGCAATGATGTGGCCGGCAGCCCACTTCTTGGCTGTGTATGAGACCAAGCTGAACGGCAGCAGGAATAGGGAGAAGCCGAACATGATGAGGAACATGCCGACGACTGAATGTTGTTAATGTACATGCTAATGTGCCGGCGTCCATGGAGTTGCCTCGAACTTACCATCAAACTCTGTGCAGTAGAAGAAGAATGACTCCTTCAGAGACCGGCCGCTCTGCTTCAACTCCGGTCCTTGGCCTAGCTTGTACGCCTTCCTGAGGTTCCACCACAACATAATCGTAATCATGGAACCAAAGGCGGGGAAGATGATAGCAAAAGAGCCAAACGCCCATCGGAAGCTGCTATGGTCGTTGAACAGCTGCGCAACGATAGGTCCGGCGAATGCATTGGCAATGTACGCGGTCGAGTTGAGCGTGTAGATAATCATTCGGTTCCGGATAGACGTGGTGTCGGAGATGAGAACAGTGTGGATGTAGCCAATACCACCACTTCCAACAGCCCAAAAGACCTAGTTCGATAGTGTAAGTAACAACTTGGGGTAGACAAGAAATCAGAGGACGAACCTGTGCAGCGGCGTAGGTCTCCACGTTGCGGCAGACAGCCATCAAGATCAGACCGAAGCAGCAGAGGAGATGAGCCAGCATGTAGCCTTCCATGCGACCAAAGATGTTGAGGATCTTGGCGAGGGGCAACTGCGAGACACCGCTAGCCAGGCCTGAGACGATACCGGTGGTGGCGGTAAGGCCGTGACGGCGGAACGATGAAGTAACGTAGGGTCCGAGGTTGCTGTTCATCTGCTGTTGCATTGAATGTGTGTAAGACGTCACCCAGATCCTAGGAAGAGCATCTGCGTCAGTCCGGGGATCATTCAAGTCCTGCTGTCTTGGATCACACTTACAAGATGTAGGTAAAGATGAGGGCTCTCCAGGTCCAAGCCGTGGTGATAGCCTGGATCTTCTTGACACCATTCTGGGTCTCCTCCTTCTCGCTCTCGACATCATTGTCAGAGCTGATCTCCGTCGTGGTCTTGCCTGGTGTCTTTTCGTCGAGGCTCTGAGTCTGGCTCTCGGCTGCGGCCTGCTGGACGAAAGGGGAGCTCATAATGGGCAACTCTTGTCACGGGACGCCTGATTTGAATTGAGATGCGGGTATGTCTTGAGACGGAAGAAACAAAGTCTCAACAGTGGAAATGTCAAGAAGGGCCCCCGGGTTATGTAGTCGACTTATCATGCAGAACAAAGTACAAAGTACAAAGTAGGAAACGATTTTCCATTGACAAGAAGCTTAACTCGAAAGGACGAGCAGAAATGTTACGTAAATCCACTCTACCAAACCACGGTTACCACATGCAGCGGAACTGGCAGGCCGAACGAGACCAACTTTTCAAGGGTCCTTTTCCGTTCAACATGACTGTCAGGCACGGCAAAATTCCGGCATCGGACGAGATCGTACGGCACAGCGAGTGCAAAAACTTCACATTGACCGTGGCCGGACGTGTTGGTGTCCCCGAGTTTGCACGAACTCGATCCACACATCACGACTTGGCACTGGGCAGCATCTTTTTGTTGGCTGATGGTTGGCTAACCGGGCGAATATCTCGCCGCGAATGGGTGTCCTAAAGCGGTAGCTACGAGCCTGCTTCTCTAGATGTGGTTCCGCCAAGTGGGACACAAGACGTCGTATTAAAGACTTTTTGCGCTGCCATCTGCACTAGAAGCGACATCGCGTAGCCTTGACTCTTAGAGCGGTTCCCGCGCTGGCCAACGAACGGGCGGGATGTTGGATCCTCTGAAGGTCGTATCGCGCCGGCTTGGCGCGCGTGCAGTTGGACGGTTGGCAACGGATCAGATAAAAAAAAACTTTGATGCTTGGCCCGCATGCAAGAGCGGATCTGATAAGATGAAAACGGGTCGCCATCGGGGGCATCCCGGGATCTGGGTGGCCCCAAGTTCTGACCGAGGGCATCCTTGGGATCCATTCTTGAAAGGCTCATGGGGCGACAATGTGACATTTCCTGCAACGTTGTTCTGCGGTTGGCTTCATCATCTATTGGTCATGGAAGTAAGCTTATACCTGGGTGGGTTCACGTGAAATGTTCGAAAGTGCTGAGAAGTTGACTGAGTAGGCCATGCAGCCTGGCACCACCTTGGGTCTCGTCGTGATGCCACAAAATATTTTGCAGTGCGTTTTACCATGGTTTAGAGGAAGAAACATCTCTTTCAGGCTGATCCTTTCCGATGTACTCATTTGATGCGCTGCCTCCATTGCGCTAGATAGGTCTTTGTGGATATTCCATAGCTCAAGATCCAAGCACTTAGGACCCCTCGATGTTAGGATGGGGCAGAACAGCATCGACTCCACTTACTCCGTGGACTGATAGGCAGCGATAGCGTAAGGCAAGGTTATGGGCAGACCGTTCCATATGATGCTTCGTCTTTTCGGAATTGTATTCCAAGTGTTCCCAAACTCGGCCGAGTTGAATCTAGACCCCATACCTCTTTGGATAGATATAGTAGGTTGGTTTATCGCCACAACACTTCAGATACCATGGGAGTTGAAGGAAGGATTTCCGTGGAGCTGGTCCTCGAGGCTACAGCGTCGGAATCCCAATCCCGGACACAGTCTCTTTGAGTCGTGTCTGTTTGTCGCGTCCACCCACTAGTCGCATTATCTGTTGCGGGAGTGGAATCATTCAATTATGTTGATGGGTGCCTTTCACTCTTCTCATCATGACTCTGTCGGCAAAACTTCACCATACTAAGTATGAATGAGGCCAAGCGTCACACAAGCTCTGGGTAACTCCGAGCACATCAGACTGCAAAGACATCAAAAATTCAACATCTGAGCCCAGCCATCAATTTTTACCTGGTATCCTAGACTTGGCCTTGCAAATAAATGTCTTGCCGATGACCACCGCGGAGGCTTCAAATGGCTTGAAGGATCGTTGACCAAGAGACTTGTGTGATGGTGGTCGCAACAAAGTTCGCTTTGCCGATGGATGCGCTAAGCCACTTTTGGGACCCTGAAAATCCCAGGCAACGACAAGTGGAGCCCCTTTTTGTCACTTTCAACCTTCGTCTTACCTCTCACCCATCTCCGACTGCCTCAAGCTCGACAGTCAAGGTCAGAGGCCAAGGTAAGCGAGCGAGCGAATCTCTGTTGAAAAAGAACATATCAATTCTGACAATCGGCCAGAAACCTTGGTGCGAATTGAGCTGAGGCGCCGAGCCTGCCGTTGGACCCCAGCACCCATCAGGACATACGGAGTACCCCCGCGTAGATCCTCCCACCATCACAGTACCCATCCGGTAAACCATGGCCAACATTTTCCGCCAAGCCATCTCATGGCTCTACACCACCCTCGCCGTCTCCATCCTCGGATCATGGACCCTCCTCATCCTCGGTGGCGTCGGCCTCACAGCTGTAGACTCGAACCCAGGCCTCCTCCAGCTCATCGCCTTCCCCTCTCTCCTCACCTTCCTCGTCGCAAAGCTCATCGTCGCCGCCTCGCCCTCGACAGCACTCCAGCAAACACCAACAAACCCCCGGAATGCCATCGTCGCGACTCCTGCCGGCGGCAACCTGGCAACCTGGCTCGCAACAGCAGACTACGGCTCCCCCCACGGCGCCCTCGTCCTCTTCCTCTT